TCTCAGCCTGTCTGCGGCGTTCTTGACCAGCCTCTGCTGGTCGACATCTCAGCCGGGTCTCTCTCCCTCTCTGCCTTTCTCGGCGTTGAATCAAGGAATTTATATCCGTCGTATATCAGTCTGTGTCTATTAGCGGGAATTATTTTTATTGGTCAATATATAAAGTTCATTTCATCATTTAATGCCGAAAATATGCGTCGAGCTATGATGCGCTGTGACGCGATTTTGCAATCTACCTTGGGGCGTCGAGCAGTCAACATCCGGTTTAGTGTAAGAGACACGTTTCACCATTCTTGTCAGATTTTCTATTATCCCAATCTGGAATATTTAATAAGAAAGATCTTATGGGGCGGGAAAAAAAAAAGAAATGAAAGAGAATTTAAATGAAATTGGTTAGATTATATACCCAAAACACATTAAAAAAGCGTCTCGCGTGCGTGCGCATGCGTAGTCACAACAACGGAAACCAACGTTGTCCCGATGAAGTCTGAAGGGACGAAACACATCACATGAATTTTTTTCCTTCTTTGTCATGTCACTTTCCCCACAAACTGTTCTTGATATATAAAAATAATTTATTGTTATCGCATGCGTAATAGTGGGTGGTTGTTGTTATCCGAGCACATCCGTCTACTAGGGGGGATAAGCCAGTCCGTCTCGCAGAAACATGCTCAGTCACATTTGTTCAACATCCTGAGAGCCCTCCTGGGGTTTATAGTGCATTTAGTTTCTAGGAAAGAGCACATAATCAACACCAGTACTCAAAACCTCAGTCATGACGACTTGTGACTTCATGTTATCACCACCATTGACGGCCGCAGAACTGTTTCCTCTACCAAATTTCAATGAAAATTTCTTGGGTACAGCTTTGGTATGGTCTTCAGGAATTTCCAAAGCATCCCCGCTCCGATACCGTCAGGGAGTCACTTTCATTATTGGCCATTTAAGATTCGAACCCTGTACGCATAATAGGAAAGCAAATGTTCTAATATAACTACTATCCATGTTTTATTTATATGCATATCTAGGTATTTTCAAAGCATTTCAACCCGAGCAAAACGGGAGGGTTGCTAGTATGAAGGGGGCTATAGAGAGTTAAATTGAACGAAAAGACTATGTAAGGGCGGAGGGAATTGAGGAAAAGCAAAAAGATGATCGGGGACAAAGGCAACAGAAAATTGCGATTGACGTTGCATTTAAAATTTTAAAGATTGTAGTCATCAGTGAAGCAAATTAAATGAAGGGCGTTCCAGAGGCGGCGCAAAAAGCTGTTATAGTTGAAAAAAAGCAAGTTAAACGAAGGGCGTTCCCCAGGCGGCGCAAAAGGCTGTTAGAGTTGACAGGGAAGCAAATTAAATGAAGGGAAATGCACAGGGGGCGCAGAAAGCTGTTAGAGTTGACAGGGAAGCAAGTTAAATGAAGGAAGTTCCACAGGCGGTAAAAAAAGCTGTTGGAGTTGACAGGGAAGCACGTTAATTGTAGGGCGTTCCTCAGGTGGCTAAAAAAGCTGTTAGAGTTGACAGGTAAGCAAGTTAAATGTAGGGAGTTACACAGGTGGCGCAAAAAGATGTTAGAATTGACAAGGAAGCAAGTTAAATCAAGGGCGTTCCACAGGCGGCAAAAAAAGCTGTTACAGTTGACAGGGAAGCAAGTTAAATGAAGCGAGTTCCACAGGCGGCGCAAAAAAGCTGTTAGAGGTGACAGGGAAGCAAGTTAAATGAAGGGCATTCCACAGGCGGCGCAAAAAGCTGTTAGAGGTGACAGGGAAGCAAGTTAAATGAAGGGCGTTCCACAGGCGGTGAAAAAATCTGTTACAGCTGACAGGGAAGCCAGTTAAATGAAGGGAGTTACTCAGGCGGCGCAAAAAGATGTTAGAGTTGACAGGGAAGCAAGTTAAATGAAGCGAGTTCCACAGGCGGCGCAAAAGGCTGTCAGAATTGACAAGGAAGCAAGTTAAATGAAGGGAGTTCCACAGGCGACGCAAAAGGCTGGCAGCGTTGACAGGGAAGCAAGTTGAATGAAGGACGTTCTACAGGCGGCGACAAACTGTTAGAGTTGACAGGGAAGCAAGTTGAATGAAGGGCGTTCTACAGGCGGCGCAAAAAGCTGTTAGAGGTGACAGGGAAGCAAGTTAAATGAAGGGAGTTCAACAGACGGTGCAAAAAGCTGTTAGAGTTGACATTGAAGCAAGTTAATTGACGGGATTTCCACAGGTGGCGCAAAAAGCTGTTAGAGTTGACAGGGAAGCAAGTGAAATGGAGTTCCACAGGCGGCGCAAAAGGGTGTCAGAGCTGACAAGGAAGCAAGTTAAATGAAGGGCATTCCACAGGTGGCGCAAAAGGATATCAGAGTTGACAGGGAAGCAAGTTGAATGAAGGGCGTTCTACAGGCGACGGAAAAAGCTGTTAGAGTTGACAGGGAAGCAAGTTAAATGAAGGGAGTTCTAGAGGTGGCGAAAAAAGCTGTCAGAGTTGACAGGGATGCAAGTTAAATGAAGGGAGTTCCACAGGGGGAGCAAAATGCTGTTAGAGGTGACAGGGAAGCAAGTTGAACGAAGGACGTTCTACAGGCGGCGCAAAAAGCTGTTAGAGATGACAGAGAAGCAAGTCAAATGAAGGAAGTTCCACAGCCGCTGAAAAAAGCTGTTAGAGTTGAAAGGGAAGCAAGTTAATTGTAGGGCGTTCCTCAGGTGGCGGAAAAAGCTGTTAGAGTTGACAGGTAAGCAAGTTAAATGAAGGGAGTTCCATAGGCGGCGAATAAAATCTGTTACAGCTGACAGGGAAGCAAGTTAAATGAAGGGAGTTACTCAGGTGGCGCAAAAAGATGTTAGAATTGACAAGGAAGCAAGTTAAATGAAGGGCGTCCTACAGGGGGCGAAAAAAGCTGTTACAGTTGAGAGGGAAGCAAGGTAAATGAAGGGCGTTCCATAGGCGGCGAATAAAATCTGTTACAGCTGACAGGGAAGCAAGTTAAATGAAGGGAGTTACTCAGGTGGCGCAAAAAGATGTTAGAATTGACAAGGAAGCAAGTTAAATGAAGGGCGTCCCACAGGGGGCGAAAAAGCTGTTACAGTTGAGAGGGAAGCAAGGTAAATGAAGGGCGTTCCATAGGCGGCGAATAAAATCTGTTACAGCTGACAGGGAAGCAAGTTAAATGAAGGGAGTTACTCAGGTGGCGCAAAAAGATGTTAGAGTTGACAGGGAAGCAAGTTAAATGAAGCGAGTTCCACAGGCGGCGCAAAAGCCTTTTAGAGCTGACAAGGAAGCAAGTTGAATGAAGGACGTTCTACAGGCGGCGACAAACTGTTAGAGTTGACAGGGAAGCAAGTTGAATGAAGGAAGTTCTACAGGCAGCGCAAAAAGCTGCTACAGTTGAGAGTGAAGCAAGTTAAATGAAGGGAGTTCCACAGGCGCCGAAAAAAGCTGTTAGAGTTGACAAGGAAGCAAGTTAAATGAAGGGCGTTCCACAGGCGGCGCAAAAACTATTAGAGTTGACAGGGAAACAAGTTGAATGAAGGAAGTTCCACAGGCGGTGAAAAAAGTTGTTAGAGTTTAAAGGAAGCAAGTTAATTGTAGGGCGTTCCTCAGGTGGCGAAAAACGCTGTTAGAGTTGACAGGTAAGCAAGTTAAATGAAGGAAGTTCCACAGGTGGCGCAAAAAGCTGTTAGAATTGACAAGGAAGCAAGTTAAATGAAGGGCGTCCCACAGGCGGCGAAAAAAGCTGTTAGAGTTGACAAGGAAGCAAGGTAAATGAAGGGAGTTCCACAGGCGGGGCAAAAAGATCTTAGAGTTGACAGGGAAGCAAGTTAAATGAAGCGAGTTCCACAGGCGGCACAAAAAGCTGTTAGATTTGACCGGGAAGCAAGTTAAATGAAGGGCGTTCCACAGGCGGCGAAAAAAGCTGTTACAGTTGACAGGGAAGCAAATTAAATGAAGTGAGTTCCACAGGCGGCGCAAAAGGCTGTCAGAGTTGACAGGGAAGCAAGTTAAATGAAGGGAGTTCCACAGGCTGCGAAAAAAGCTGTTACAGTTGACAGTGAAGCAAGTTAAATGAACGGAGTTCCACAGGCGCCGAAAAAAGCTGTTAGAGTTGACAGGGACGCAAGTTGAATGAAGGGAGTTACTCAGGCGGCGCAAAAGGCTGTCAGAGTTGACAAGGAAGCAAGTTAAATGAAGGGAGTCACACAGGCGGCGAAAAAGGCTGTCAGAGTTGACAAGAAAGCAAGTTAAATAAAGGGAGTTTCACATGTGGCGCAAAAGGTTGTCAGATTTGAGAGCCAAGCAAATTAAATGAAGGGCATTCTACAGGTGGCGAAAAAAGCTGTTACATTTGACAGGGAAGCAAGTTAAATGAAGGGAGTACCACAGGTGATGCCAAAAGCTGTTAGAATTGACAGGAAAGCAAGTTAAATCAAGAAAGTTCCACAGGCAGAGAAAAAAGCTGTTAGAGTCGACAGGGAAGCAAGTTGAATAAAGGGCGTTCTACAGGCGGCGAAAAAAGCTGTTACAGTTGAAAGGAAGCAAGTCAAATGAAGGACGTTACACAGGCGGCTAAAAAAAGCTGTTACATTGACAGGGAAGCAAGTTAAATGAAGGGCGACCCACAGGCTGCGCAAAAGGCTGTTAGAATTGACAAGGAAGCAATTTAAATGAAGGGTGTTCCACAGGCGGCGCAAAAGACTGTTAGATCTGACAAGGAAGCAAGTTAAATGAAGTGTGTTCCACAGGCGGCGCAAAAGGCTGTAAGATTTGACAGTCAAGCAAGTTAAATGAAGGGAGTTCCACAGGTGGCGCAAAGGGCTGTTAAAGTTGACAGGGAAGCAAGTTGAATGCAGGGCGTTCAACAGGCGGCGACAAACTGTTAGAGTTGACAGGGAAGCAAGTTGAGTGAAGGGCGTTCTACAGGCTGCGCAAAAAGCTGTTAGAGTTGACAGGGAAGCAAATTAAATGAAAGGAGTTCCACAGGCTGTACAAAAAGCTGTTAGAGTTGACAGTTTATGCAAGTTAAATGACGGGAGTTCCACAGGCGGCGCAAAAAGCTGTTAGAGTTGACAGGGAAGCAAGTGAAATGGAGTTCCACAGGCGGCGCAAAAGGCTATCAGAGTTGACAGGGAAGCAAGTTGAATGAAGGGCGTTCTACAGGCGGCGCAAAAAGCTGTTAGAGTTGACAGGTAATCAAGTTAAATGAGTGAAGTTTCACAGGCGACGCAAAAGGCTGTTGACAGGGAAGCAAGTTAAATGAAGGACGTTCCACAGGCGACGCAAAAAGCTGTTAGATTTGAAGAGTCGGCTACATTTACTTATTTCAACAGGAAATTAGTGGGAACTTGTGTCAATCTAGCAGCACAATTCATGTAGTCGGGGTACCAGGATAAAAAAAATATATCGTCAGAGCAGTTACCATGAAAATATTTATAGAAAAGACAGAGGGAAGCCACGCCATGTCGGTGAGAAAGTGACTGATGCCAATATACCGGTTACTTTGCAGATCCTTCTTTGGATTTTTTCCAGAACCTCGCGACGCACAGTGGAGGCACCAGAGTAGATATGACAACAGCATACAATGTAAGGCTGAATGGCGGGAAAAATAAAACATCTGCCACGACATTTCTTCAGACACAATCATTCACTCATGTAGTTCATTGTAATTAACAAGCAGGGATTCTTTTTCTCCTGATGATGACCATGCTGACCGAAACTAGTCGTGGAATAAAACAAAAAATAATACAATACAACACTCAGTGTGCTTGAAAATCTTAATTTTTAATTTCTCATAATATTTTTATTGTTCAAATCATATATATATATATATATATATATATATATATATAAATTGTGAGTATTTAGGCAGTATTTTTTCATTCATACATGTTTCATTAAATAATATAGACAGGTGTTGTCTATTTATTTTATGTAAATTCTTTTCATAACGTCTGATAAGCTTAATAACATTTTCATTAAACGAAGAAAGAAAATCACCATAGTGATCCATATTTTTAATCCAATCTAAGCTTTCGGCTTACATAAGCCATTATCAAAGATGTCAATTACTTTACAATATATTAAGCAATATACGGAATTGAATGTGTTGACAGTCTCTTATTGTTTACATGGATGATTTCCAAGCAACGATAAACACGTGCATATAAGACGCTGTAAGCTAATATCGCACCGCAGCTCATGACATCGCATACGACCACGCAAGAGTGAATTCGAGAAGTATTAAATATGGCAAGCTGTTGGTATAAACCAATGGCTTCTTATACCAACTATAGACATCTAAGGATATTTGTGGAGATTTCATAGTTGATTTTGTTTAGGTTAGGTTTCAACTGTTTGATGTATAGATAAAGGATATTTAGTTTTTATTTATTGTTTTCATGTTTAAGTATAATTGTGTTTTCGACAAGGATTTTACGGAATTGTGTGTGCGGCCAGCCATGTTGTTTTAAATGCCGAAAAATATTTTAGTTTTCATTCAAATGTAGTGTTAAGCGTCGTGAAATTCGTCCAACGAATTAAATAATATTTATGTTGGTCACACCACTAACTTCGCTTTCAGGATATAGTATATATATATATATATATATATATATATATATATATATATATATATATATATATATATATGAAGAAATATAATCTTAAGGTGTGCTATATATATGGGATAAAAGTGCTCAATATCAGAGATACAGCGTAGCACATAAGACTCCTGTTTATGAATAAGAACATCTCTCTCTCTCTCTCTCTCTCTCTCTCTCTCTCTCTCTCTCTCTATCTATCTATCTATATATATATATATATATATAATAAATATAAACAGTCTGTTTCATGATAGATGCAACCGTCAGGCCTGAGGATTGTATTTAGCATGAAACAGACTGCAACCGTAAGTGTTGACTTCTATGTTCACTTTTTATATATATATATATATATATATATATATATATATATATATATATATATAGATAGATAGATAGATAGATAGATAGATGTTCTTATTCATAAACGGGAGTCTTATGTGCATTGCCTCAAATGTGAGAGATTGATGTATCTCTTTCTTCTCCGTCATATTATAACCTATAGAAATGCAATGAATAAATTTATGATCTTCCCTCCATATATATATATATATATATATATATATATATATATATATATATGTGTGTGTGTGTGTGCCTGCGTGCATGCGTATACGTAGGTATGTATCTATGTATATTACCTTGTCTTTGTATACTTTGGATAGAATACCATGAATTGATCTACGTTCATATCTATTTAGATTTGCGTCAGTCATTTCTTAAATGTATCGCACTTTTTGAAGATGTTTATAATGTCAGATCCATTTTTTTCCCGCCTTTCGTCGTTGTTTTGTATTGTTCTCTTCTTGCCCATCCATTTTTCTTGAAAGCATTGTTCAGGACGAAGTGAATCTGAGGCAGAAGAAAAACAAGATTTGCCACTTGCGGGCAAAAACTATCTTCATGTTTAGAATCACTTCATCCGTCATTGTTAAAGGAACATTTCGCAGTTAATGAAATGACGAAGGAAATATAAAATCTATTGACACCTGGACTTTTGATAAGATATATATATATATATATATATATATATATATATATATATATATATATATATATATGTATGTAAACGACAATAACAACCAGAGGATATAGGTAAAAAAATCTACAAACTGACTAAAAACAATAAAGAAATAGAATGAATTATTCCATTTGTAAGACATTTCAAAAAAGAAAATATTGACATTATTTTAGAAAGCCATTATTTTTTCTTTAAAATATTTTACAGTAAAAGTATTTATAAAAGGCAAATGTGTGTGTGATTAAAATATATACATAGACACAAAGATACACACACACACACACACATATATATATATATATATATATATATATATATATATTCTATCTTCTGATAGACGTAAAGAGGACGAAACGCACCGGTAAAATACAATTTTTCTTGTTGCCTTCATTCATATTGTTATTTGACTCAAATATTTTTAGTTATATCTGAATTTGTACATACATACAAACACACATATACCTATGTGTGTGTATGTGTGTATTTAATGAATAAACGGACCACCGACTCAAATACGAGTCTCCACTAAAAAAAAAGTTTAAAGTGATAAACACATACACACACACTTTATCACTTTAATATATATATATATATATATATATATATATATATATATATATATATATATATGTGTGTGTGTGTCTGTATTTTCATTCATTGTGGATGTATTTATCTAATCTATGTTTTCCTTATTCTTTTTACAGATGTATTTTAGATATATCTGAATTTTTACACACTCTCTCTCACACACACGTATCTATCTATCTCTCTCTATATATATTTACATACATACATATATATATATATATGTATTTATGTATAATTATCAAAATTAATATCTATTTATCTCAGCCTATTCATACCTATCTATCTATCTATCTATCTATCTATCTATCTCATTTTGTTCATATCTGTCTTTCTATCTCACTTTATTCATATCTATCTATCTATCTATCTATCTATCTATCTATCTATCTATCTATCTATCTATCTATCTCTAATTCTCGCACACCCCACATAAAGCACGTGGTATTCTCAAGCGTTCAACCTCTAGTTACTGATGAAGTTCGACGTTTACTGAATTTAGTTGATCGTAAGTTTTGGTTTTTGATTTTCATATACACGTATGGGCGCCACTCATTAAAAACGGCCTTGTGGCACACATGACTCTCGTCGGCTTTGAGGATATTACAGTCGGTAACATCGAAACAATATTCTCTGGCCTATAAGATTAATTCCCTCTCAATGTCTTATATATGAACTTGTTCTCCAATTTAATCCATCTTTTTAACTTGCAAATTTATTTAAATTTTCCTCACTAGTTTAATTCATGGCTGCTATACAGAGGCGCGTGCCTGAGTGGGTAAAACGTTCCTTTTTGGACCATGAGATCAGTATTCGGATTTCATCAAAGTCATTTTGGTAGGGTCGTTTGAGGTAGCCTTTGGAAAGTGGATTAAAACCAGACTTTCATTGTTCCTGTCCGATTTGATCTATATATTGGACTCAGTTTGAAGCAATATATATATATATATATATATATATATATATATATATATATATATATATATATATATATATATATGGACAAAGTCCGACAATTTATTTATTAAAGGTTATAGATAGAAATGTCTTTAATATATATATATATATATATATATATATATATATATATATATATATATATATATATCTAGCTGCACGTATCTGAGAATGCCTGTCTAATAGGGCGGCCAGCCAATACCTCTTGCAGGCGCCTGCATAGACACATCTATGTTTGTTCAACACCCACCAAGCCCACCTGTGTTGTATATTGAAACTGTACTGGGCCGAGGTTTGTTACAAATTCTAGGAGAAAACGGATTTTCTGGTGTGATCAACAGTCGAAAGAAAGCCAGTACGATCAAACCTTCGGTCACGCTGACTTGTGATTTTGTGCTAGAACAAACATCGACCGTTACCAAATAGTTCCGCCAATGGTTATGACTTTCAGGCATATATATATATATTCCAATACACACACACACACACACATATATATATATATATATTTTAAATACTATATATATAATGTATATATATAATATATATATATATGTATATATATATATATTCCAATATACATATATATATATATATATATATATATATATATATATATTAAATATATATATATATATATATATATATATATATATATATATATATATATATATTCCAATATAAATATATATATATATATATATAGTAACCCGGATATAAGAGAGTTTTCGGGACCGGAGAAGTCTCTTATATCCGGGTTTTTCTTATATCCGGGTTTGTTCTATTTTATATACATTAACACAGGCTCTAATTTGGGACCACAGAAAATATATCTTATATCCGGGTTTCTCTTATATCCGGATCTCTTATATATGAACTAAGTATATATAAGTATAAGTATGGATGTCGCCAATAATACCATGAATATTACTGATTGATTCTATGTGTGATTATTTCTTTGTGTGCCACCATGCATAATTAGAAAACTGAAAAGAGATATTCATAAATATATGATTTGTTTTTTCGGTTTGTTAACCATTTGATAATTATTTAGAGCTGAAAAATATTTCGGGGTTAGGAATAATTCTTTCTTTACATTCAGGCGATCTGAGAGAAAGAAAGAAAAGAAGAAGAAAAGGAAGGAAAGAAAGGAGAAAAATAAATAATACGAAACCAGGTCGTAAGCGAAAACACACACGCTCGACTGGCACATATCAGATGTCAAAAATATCAGGTCAAGCACGTGACGTACTTCCGTGTCCGCGGAGGATGAAAGTTTGTTATTAATTTGGTTGAAGAAATAAAGTTTAGAGACAATGAAAAAAATATGATAGGTAACAGGTGGGAAGTTTATCTAAGGATATACAGACAATCCATTAATACGAGAACCCAGACAATTCCAGAATTGAAAATACAGTCACACAAGATGATGATTAGAAAATGCTTTTTTTTGAGATAATTAAGATTTTTGTTGTCAAGCTCCGAGCGAAGGGAGAGAAAGTGAAATATTTTTATTAGTTCACGTTAACGCCACCCAGGGTGATGTCGCTTTTTTGAGATAATACAGATTTTTAATATCGGCCGGAGGAGAATGAAATATTTTGTTGCGTTCAGAGAAACGCCGACAGGTCTAAGAAATCCCTTTCTTAGATCGTATCCAATTAGCGATAGGATGTTTGACAAATACCGCGTGTAAAAAAGAAACCGGGATCGTCATTTCGGTCACATACGAAAAGGGCAGTTTAAGTTTTTTGTTTTTTAAGCAAGGTGTTCCCCGCCCCCAGAACAAAGCCACGGATTGTCCACGCCCGATTAAAGACGTCACGAAGGAAGGAGGAAAGATACCGACCAGAGTCTCATTGGCCGAAGGCGGCCACATGATACATGAGGGAGGAGGAGACACCCGACCAGGACCCCATTGGCCGAGAGCGGTCACATGATGTGAGAGGGAGGAGGAAAGATGCCCGACCAGGACCCCATTGGTCGAGAGCGGTCACCTGACATACGAAGGACCAGGGAAGCGGGTATACGCCCCTCAGAGGCACAGTAAGGAAGTAGGAGTGAAAGTAAGTTACCGAAAATGGAAAATCCCTAATCAGAAATAATACGTCTTTAGAATTATCAAGAAAACCCTGGCGCCGACAGACCCACCCCAGTTTTTGACTGCCTCAATAAAAGCGGGACCCCCAACCGACAGAAATCAGTTGCAGCGCGGACGGCGATGGAGTTGCAGCGCGGACGGCGGGCCCTGTTCATTCGTCCCCTTTGCGGCAAGAAAGGCCGGTCCGTTTGGCCTAAGTGGAGAAGTTGGAATCAAACCGAAGTGAAGAAATTCGTCCAACCCAAGCCGAAGTGAATAAGCTCGTCCAACCGAAGCCGAAGAGAAGAAGTTAATTCGCGCACTGACAGCGGAGATGAGTGAACAATAATTCAGACTCTGAAGAGATTGTTAGTTGCAGCCACGGACGGCGAGAGAAATCAGCCGTGAACGACAGGTAGAGATCAGCGCCCAGTGTCGAAACCAAACCACACCCCGAAATGCAAATTTCTAGAGAGCAAGCAACTCGAAGCCTTAAAGTTGTATGGTAGAAGCTTGGTGCCACGGTCCACAGAACGGGTCGGGAGGTAGGAATAATCTTGTGTAACGAACAATTAGATATAAAAAAGTTGTTACCTTTTTCTTCAATATTTTTGACCTTGTGAGTTTTATTTATCTTGTGTGTTATCACCCCGTTGGACTCAGCTTGCATACGGCCCAATCCTGTTTGATCCCGTCTGTTCAAGATCTAATCACAACGTGAGTAGACAGACCGGAGATCAGTGTAGTTACCCTGGTAACCAGGCGTTGGAAGCGGGTTGGGAACAACGAGGCTGGTATTCATCTAGCCAAAGGGTTAGAACGTCACACTTGGAGCAGCGAGGAGCGAACAGCTGGCGTCGCGAACGGGATCGAACGACACAGTCGACGCTGCGACCAGGGGGGACGACGTCACATTTGTATATAAATTATATGCTGTCTAAAGTTTTATGTTTATGAAAAAAACTATCGATCCGCAGTACAAAAAAATTCCTATAAAAAAACTACAACTAAGGCTTAACACTAAATTAATAGAACTATATACTTAGTTCATGACATATTAACTGAAAACACTTTCGATCGACAAACAATTATTTAGTCTTCAAGTTTTGATTTTATAAGGAAAACATATGCCTGACGATGAATAAAGGATTATTCGAAAGTACTTGCATTTTAAAAAAATATAAACTGGAAACAACAGACAACAGTTTTATAAATGAGGATCACATCACTCTATGGATTAACAGTATTTTAATGCATACATTATACACTACTAGCGATGGATGCCGCCAATAATAGCATTAATATTGCTGATTGATTCTATGCGTGATTATATCTTTGTATATAAATTATATGCTGCCTAATATTTTATGTTTATATATATATATATATATATATATATATATATATATATATATATATATATATATATAAAAAAATTTACAATTGAGGTGTGTTATATATATGGGGTTAAGGACTCAATGTCAAAGATAGAGCGTATGTAAATATATAAGTGAACATTGAAGTCAACACTTAGAGGCGACAGACTGTTTCATGATAGACTCAATCGTGGCCTGACGAGTGCGTCTAGAATGTAACAATTCTGTCGCCTCTAAGTGTTGACTTCAATGTCCACGTTATATATAGTTTCGTTGATGTGAGTTTGTGACACACTGATTAATTTTGAAATTTTAGATTTATATATGATTGTGTATATCGGTGTTTGATGGCAGTGGAAAAATTATAGTCTGCGTCTTCCTCGCGACGGCACTCAAATCCAAGATTTAAAAATTATTCAGTTTGGCTGACGATCGCAAAGGGCGTGAAACCCAGTGTCAAAAAAATCACATCAACGCAACTAGTTATGTTAGCTCAATGACTGACATTGAAAGCATTCTAATAAGTACCGCGCTAATATAGAAAATGAATAATATATTTAAAAACTTTCTATATGTCTCTCTCTCTCTCTCTCTCTCTCTCTATATATATATATATATATATATATATATATATATATATATATATATATATATATATATATATATATATATATATATGGCAATTGAAATTGTCCAAATCGTGTAACAAAAATTGTCCAACTGTTAGATTCAGATTTGAAACGCTGTCTTCTTACAAGAATTCACCGATGTCTTTTAAATACATTGAACAATAAGAATGCATAATTACTTTCCAAACTTAACAGAAGAATCGGAATATCAATCATAAAGGAAAATGACATGCTCATCATTAATTAATCATAGCTAAAGAGTGGAAGCTCATGAAGGATTGAAATAAAGTTCATTATCTATCTATCTATCTTAGGCTATCTATCTATCTATCTATCTATCTATCTATCTATCTTAGGCTATTCATTATCTATCTATCTATCTATCTTAGACTATTCATTATCTATCTATCTATCTATCTATCTATTCCTATCTATCTATCTATCTTAGGCTATTCATTATCATCTATCTATCTATCTTAGGCTAGTCATTATCTATCTATCTATCTATCTATCTATCTATCTATCTATCTATCTTTGGCTATTCATTATCTATCTATCTATCTATCTATCTTAGGATAGTCATTATCTATCTATCTATCTATCTATTTATCTATCTTAGGCTAGTCATTATCTCATTCATTCATCTATCTATTCATCTATCTATCTATCTATCTTAGGCTATTCATTATTCATCTATCTATCTATCTATCTATCTATCTTAGGCTATTCATTATCTATCTATCTATCTATCTATCTTAGGCTATTCATTATCTATCTATCTATCTATCTTAGGATAGTCATTATCTATCTATCTATCTATCTATTTATCTATCTTAGGCTAGTCATTATCTATCTATCTATCTATCTATCTATCTATCTATCTATCTATCTTAGGCTATTCATTATCTATCTATCTATCTATCTATCTATCTATCTATCTATCTCATTCTGTCCGCATCAAACTGAAGGAAGGAATCCCTCATCCATACTGGAACGTGAAATAGCAGCTATTGCACTTGTGAAACGTGTTTTCCTGAAAAAGTTTTTTAAGAGAAAGATTTTGTAAATATCAACCAGAAGTAGTACTGGGTGTTTGGCCAATGAATAATAAATGTTTCCTTATAGGGAAAAGTCTAATATTTCTATTACCACCAATGATTCATCCCGCGTTAACATTTACACATGCACACGCGCATGCGCAATGGTTCGTGCATTCAGTCTCCTACATTTAGAATGCACTGTAAAACACTTCTTGTCCGTTCTCTCGATAAACAAATCTATCTCGTATCATAGCGAGTTCGAAAAAACAAAACGAGAGAAATAATATTGTGAGGTAGCGATTTTGCTTTGAAATTAAATAAAGTCAAATAGATATTTTTTATCCACTGTAGAAAAAAAAAAACGCGTTGCAAATGATAGGCTGCCAGAAGACAACTCCCAGTGCCAATTGCATCGAGAGGCAAGACAAGGAAAACAGATTGCTAAAATGGAAGTAGCGATTCCAAATCAGAATAAAAATCACCGCCAGTAAATGTTTCATTTTTTTGTATTTTTTCGTCGAGTAAATTAATCAGTGATTATATTATGATGGGTTCATTGCAGGAGATGAAGATGAGGCTAATACTTGTGAAGATGAAATTGGAGTATATTTTAAGCGGCTAAAACGAAGATGGCGGTAGAAGAGTGCAGTAAAATAGGAAAACAAGTCGAAAGGAATATTCATCAAATGAGAAAATATTGAACAAAAAATAACTAGAAAAGGAAAAGTACGAAAGAAATATTAAAAAAGAAGCTGGAAAAGAACATTAAAAACAAAGAAAAGTACAGAAGAAGAAGAAGAAGAAGAAGAAAAATAAGAAGAAAAGGAGGAGGAGGAGGAAGAGCAGGTGAAGGTGGAGTATAAAAAAGAAGAGGGGAGGAGGGAGAGGAGCAGGTGGAGGTGAGGCAGAAAAAGAAAAAGAGGAGGAGAAGGGTTAGGAGCAAGTCGAGGTGGGGGTAGAACAACAACGACAAGAGGATGAGGAGCAGGTGGAGCTATGGTAGTAGAAGAAGAAGAAGAAGAAGAAGAAGAAGAGGAGGAGGAGGGTGAGAAGCAGTGGGTTGGGTAGAAGAAGAACAACCACAAGAGAAAGAGGAGCAGGTGGAGGTCGGTAGAAGCAGAGGAGGAGGAGAAGAAGGTGGAGGTGGAAGGGAAGAAGAAGCAGAACAAAAAGAGGATGAGAAGCAGGTTGACGAGTGTAGAAGAAAAAGAAGGGGATGAGAAGAAGAAGAAGAAGAAGAAGAAGAAGAAGAAGAAGAAGAAGAAGAAGAAGAAGGAGAAGAAGAAGAAGAAGAAGAAGAAGAAGAAGAAGAAGTGGTCTACGTAGAGGAAGGAAGAAGAAGAAGAGGTTGAGATGAGGAGTAGGCCTAGGAGGATTAAAAGAAGAAGATGAAGGGTATGTGTAGGAGTTATAATAGTAGCATATGAAGAAGAAGAAGAAGAAGAAGAAGAAGAAGAAGAAGAAGGAAGAAGAAGAAGAAGAAGAAGAAGAAGAAGAGAAAAAGTTGCGTAAATTGATCAATGATGAACACTTCTCTGGCTTGGTTGCATTACCACCGGCTCTACCCTCCTCCGTCTGCTTCTCATCCTCTTTTTCTCTCAACTTTTTTTTTCTTTTATTTAGTTTTAAACTTCTCTCTATTTCATTTCACGCTTAATTTCCTTTCATCTTCTTCTTTCAATTCACCCTCATCTCCCCACCTTGGCGCCCAGTCCAGAAAAAAGGCATGAAGAAAAGAAAAAGAATGAGCACGGAAGAAATTAGGCGCTCATGAGTAAACGTGATTTGCAAATGAAACACAAGCCTCATTTCTGATTTGGAGACACTCAAGCCGCTAAAAAACGATTTGCGCTTCACTGTTTTTTTATTTCGTTGATATATATATATATATATATATATATATATATATATATATATATATATATAATATATATATATATATATATATATATATATATATATATATATATATATATATATATATATATATATATATATATTTCATTTATAGGCGCCACAAGCGACCGCTAACGAGGATGGTCTAAGTGAAATCATAATGACTACCAGTAAAAAGAGATTTCTCGACATTTCTTTTACCTACTTCTTTATGCATTCACTGCTAACCCATAAACGGTCATCAATATAATCATTCCTACACGCTTCTACCCCGACACTGATACACACATATATAATATAATAAAAAGGCTTAAACACTCTGAGAATTTTTTCTGATTTCTTTTTGAATTTGGAGGTCTGATGAATTGGAACGTAATTACGATTCCAATGTAATAAATTATAACCATGGAATATTAGTATTTAATCCTTTTTTATTATATTCTTACTCTGTCCTGGATATTGAGTTCTACCTGGATTCGATCCTATTGGAAATTTTATATATATATATATATATATATATATATATATATATATATATATATATATGGTTGACCCTGGGTTCATAAAGCGTGAAACCTAGGGTCACAAACTCACATCTATCCAACAAAATATGTTAGCTCTCTCTCTCTCTCTCTCTCTCTCTGATATTGAGCTCTTGATAATTAGCGCTTTTAATAAATATATAAATAAATATATAAATATTTATATATATATATATTTATTTATATACACACACACACACACACACACACACACACACACATACACACACACACACACACACACACCGTCCGGTCCATCCTCCTTCCATGTCTGTTGAACAGGATTAGAGGTTCATCCCTTCTTCCCACTTCAGGATCTGGTTTACCGGTTCTCTTTCTTTCTCTTACCAGGGCCTCAAGTATTTAACTGTCTTAACTCTTTGGTTAGGAAATCGATCGGGTTTCGATCTCGGCTGTAAACAATTGGATGACTAGCCACACTGATGAGCTGTGATACAGCGAAGCCGGCCTGTATATGGATGACATCATATATATATATATATATATATATATATATATATATATATATATATATATATTTGAAAAAGAAAAAAACAATTTAAGGTACCATTATAATAATTTATTTCACCAGAGTCCTTTTAAAAGGACGCCGGATCATCAGATAGCACTTCCAACAACGAAATGAAACGAAAAATGAAATTAAAATTGATGGGTAGTGTAAGTTTTTGTAATTTAACAGAGAGTGTAAAAGGAGTAGTTAAAGAGACATGGTAGAGTATAGGGAGGGATTAATTTCATATCTCTCTCAAGTATACTTAGTATTGGGGGAGGAG